GAATATTATTTTCATTTGAAATAAAAAAACAAACACCCTAATGATTATTCTTTAAAATTTAATCGTGACTATTATTTAATTATGCAAAAATTGTGGAATTGTATTACATACTTATTCCGTGAATATTTGTTTGTTCACATTCCTAATCAATATTAATAAAAAAAAAAAAATATATATATATATATAAATATGCTTACATGTAGAGCTGTTAAATGAACTGAGTCGTTCGTGAACTCGACTCGGTTAAAACTTGTTCATGAACGTTACCGAATTGAGCCGAACATCATAAACATGCTCGTTTGATTAACGAACGAGCCCGAATTGTATTCGTGAACGTTCGTTAAAATAATATATTTATTATAAATATTATATACATTAAAAATTATAATTAATGAATAAATAAATAAATTATCAATTTAAAATAAATAAATAAATAAAATAATTTGAATTTTTCTTTTTAATTTATATATAAATTATAAATTTTAAAAATGATCGAGCTTAATCGAGCCGAAAACGCATACGAGCTCAAACAATAAATATTTTTAACGAGCCGAGATCGAACATTGTGAACGAGTTCGAAAGTTTAATGAACGAACACGAGCCTTGTTCGCAAATGTTAACGAACGAACACGAACACTTAAAATTTTGTTCAACTCGCCTTGTTAACAGCTCTACGTACATGCACATAATATAAATAACATATACTCCCTCCGTCCTAATACAATAGTCTTGTTTACCATTTTTGTCCGTCCCAAAACAATAGTCTTATTTCCATAAATAATCATATCACTATAAAACTACCATTATTTTTTTCTTATTATTATACAATTGCCACTATTTTTTACACTAATACACTCACAAGGGCAAAAAAAGTCTTTTTACTCGTACTTTTTACCCACTACCAGTATAATATCAATATTCCTTAAATCTCGTGTCAAATACAACCCAAACTATAGCTCTGGAATGGATGAAATATATTTTATTCTCTTACAAAAAATCAACAATTCAACGTAATATTATTTTATATTTATTTATACAAATTTTTATACGGCATATAAAAAAAAAAAAAAAATCTCAAATTAAAACTAAATTTTCTCTTTACACGGTATTCACGCCAATATTATATATATATATATATATAATTTCCAAGTAATAGTTATATATATATTTGTTCAAAGCTTGCTAGCTTTTTTTTTTTTTTTTTTTTTTTTTTTTAAGGTTTTGATTACGTTGAGGGTTTACAATTATGGATCATAGTTGATCTTCATTTGATTTTATAAATATTTTTCTATTTTTTTATATGTTTTATGATTGTGACTAATCATTGATCCAAAAAGTTATACAATTTTATATATGGATTTTATAATGTTGATAGTGATCGTATGCTTTATTTTATTTCCAAAAGGCAATTTTTACAAAATTTACAAACTATAATATAGTAATTAATTATAATAATATATACTAATGTAACAAGTGATGCAACTATGCCGCCGTACTTTAAAAATGCCCACGTGAGAATATGTCGTCGCTTCCGATTTATATTGTCAATTATTATTATTATAAATAGTCCAAATTTATGATCATTTGATCGGATATAAATTTTAAAAAAAGTGGATAAAATATAAATTTTTTCTTTCTATAGTAAAGAAAAAATAGAAAAGTGATATCACCTTTGTCCGGCTCTAAAGATCCTATTTATTTTTTGCATGTTGATTTTTGAATATTAATTATTATATGAAAACATCGTACAAATTAAGAGAAAATGACAAAAATACTTCTATTAGTGCCTTATAAAATTATTACGATGATATTTGTACAAAAAAGTATACAAATATAAAGATATTTTTTATGTTAAGTACAATGATGCAAGAGGTAAATAAAACTTTTAGAACTGGACCGGCGAGTAATTTTTTTTAAAAAGAAGTGAGAATATTTTTTTATGACAATAATTAAAAAAAAAAAAAAAAAAAAACTAGATATAAATTCAAATGACAAAAGTATATGTTTTTAACTTGCGCAACAATATTATCACTTCCCTTATACACAATTTCTAAGAAAATAAATTATTTTTCTTATAAAATATTATACCTAAAAATTATTATACACATTAAAACCAACTAAACCAATTTCAAACCAAAATAAGAGTTTTCCAAAAATTTGTTTGGTGTTTCCAAAACTCATTTTAACACCCTCTTTTTTCCTTTTTCTTTTCTTTTTTTTTTTTTTTTTTAAGCATCTGTACCTATTTTTTTTGTAATTAGAGGTTGAGAAAGAAACTGTAACTACGATGGAAGACCAGAGTGCGTGCGGTAAGAATATGTCTTGAGAAATTTTTCGACGATTTCGAAAGAAGAGAGTGGCGACGACGGCCTAGTCGGCGACCGAGGCGATGGAATTGCTGCGTCGTTCAAACAAAATAAAAATTATATTTAGAGTTGAAAGAGAAATAAAATAGCTATTAAAATTAAAGGGTAAAATTGTAAATTGTAATAAAAATTTAACTTTTATTTAAAAAAAAAAAAAGGTAAGGAATCACATGTAGCTCTGCAATTGGATGCACAGGAGCGACATGGGAGATGTGCCGGACACGAGATCCGAACCCAAGATATTCAGGTTTGTTATTTTTTTTTCACATCACTTTTTCTCACAACTCGGATATATTCTTTTCAATTTTATACCAACGACAAAGAAGCACATCTCAATTTTTTTTTATTTATATTTATTTCTATATTATTATATATGTATGTTTTTTTTATATAAAAATAGTAATATTTTATTAATGTTATAATTAATTAATAATTTATTTATTACTTTTTAAAAAAATATTTAAAATTTTAATTAATAAAATATTTTTAATATTAGTATCATTTTATAGAACATAATTTTTTTTAATTAAAATAAAATAATACAGTTAAAATAAATTACAAAACAATATATATGCGTGTAAATATATATATAATACTCCCTCCGTCCTAATACAATAGTCTTGTTTACTATTTTTGTTCGTCATAAAACAATAATTTTATTTCCATAAATAACAATATCACTGTATAACTATCCTTACTCTTTCATTATTATTATACAATTGTCACTACCTTTTATATAATACACTCACAATGGTAAAAATATCTTTTACCTATACTTTTACTCACTATCAATATAATATCAATATTTCTTAAATCTCGTACCCAACACAACCAATAGTATAGTTTTGGTACAGAAAGGAGTATTGTATAATATGTCATATGTCTCAGTTATAATGAGTGTGTGTTTCTTTGGTTGAGTTTGAGAAATTTTGGTTTGAATTTGGTATTAAAATAATGTGTCATGGGATGTTCTGTGAGAAAAAAAAGGTATTTTTTAAAAAAAATACAGAGTCCAAATAGTAAAATTTGAAAATTTGAAGTACATCTCCAAGCATCTCAGCATAGATAACAGAGAGATGAGATCTCCTTTAAAATATCTGATGTCACAATATCTTAGCAAGGAAGATGATACCGTGCGCATGTACTAAAAATGCCATCTCAGGTCCACCTGTCACACATAGTTGGCCCAGTGTGACTTTTCCGTCGTGCCTGGTTTGCAGGGTATTAGATTTGACCGGGATTTACTTAGTGCGCACTTTCGGGTAGCGGCTGCGGATTTCCACGTCATAAAAAAAATAAAAATTGCCATATTATAAATTGGCAAAATTACTCGGTAATTCACACCTATGATTTAAAAAATTTGCATTACTACTTTTAATTTGGAAACTATATGAAACTACTTGTATTTTAAAAAAATATTACACTAATTTTTTTAAAGAGTTTTTATATAATATTTTTAAAATACCAAAAAAAAAAAAAAAAAAAAAACTCTAAGTAATTCTTTAGAGAAATATTAGCAATATTTTTTAAAAGCACAAGTGTCTCGTGTATCTTCTAAATTACATGAAAATAGCACACTTTTCAAATTTTATTTACATTCAAAATATTATACTACTGCTATCTCCGTCCGGCTATAAGGGTTTCATTTACTTTTTACGTGTTGATATTTGAATATCAATAATTATATCAAAATGTAATATACAAATTAAGAAAAAATTGAAAAATAATTCAATTAGTGTCTTTCAATATTAATAGAATGACATTTGTACAAAAAAAATATACAAATATAAATATATTTTTAATATTAAGTACAATGATAAATGTGACCCTCATAGACGGATTGAGAAAATATTATTTTAGGGTAAATTATATGATACCCCTTGTGTTTTACTAAAAATGCACAAAACACGTGTTTTATTTATTGCGTGAAATCCCTTGTGTTAATATAAAATTTGTACGAAATACCCTCATTGTCAAAAACTGATATTTGATTTTAAATAAAGATTTAAATTACGCAAGTTAATACAAATAAAAAATACATAATATCTTAAATAATTTTTTAATAGAATAAATAAATAAATAAATAAATAATCTTTTATTTTATAGTTTTTGGAAACAAATTGTTATATGATATTTATGAAAACTATAAAAATAAATGATTGATCAATTATTTATTTATTTTTTTATTAAAAAATTATTTAAAATATTTTATGTTTTTTATTTGTATAAAACTTGCCGTAATTTAGGTCTTTTTGTTATAACAAAATATCAGTTTTGGACCGTGTAAACTTTACATTAACACAAACAGATTTCACCCCATAAATAAAACACAGGGCATTTTTACTAAAACAGTATTATATAATTTACCCTATATTTTAATTCAAATCTTCTACTATTTTTAAAATACACAAAAACACAACCAAACAAGTCCAAAACAGGATCACAACGCCAGTTCTTTAAAGCTACTTCGGAATTTTTTGTCTTCATAATTGTGGTGTTTCCCCAATCCAATCCAACTTTAGCTGCCACTTTTTTATTTTATAATTACTAATTTTTTTAATAACGTTGTAACATGCAACTGCTATTTTGAATGAAATACGGATAAATCGATAAATTTTCAACCGAACCTATTAACCTGCCGGCTAAATCAACAAAATAAATCACACTAAACATATGCATCAGCAAAAAGCCCAATAAATCCATGTATCAAACCGATGCTCGTCTACAAAACACAGCCATATTTTGCGCCATTGCGATGTCTAATTGTTGCTCATCATAATGTATACATACATATATATATATATTATATGTATTCGGATTAATATATTTCATTCGGACGCCATCCACGACAGCCTACTTTCGTCGCTGCCAATGTGTTGCTCTGCGGCTGGCCGACTAAACCATCGGCGTCTCCAAACTCACTCTTAAGTTTGCTGCGGCAATGACATGGTTCTCCGCCACAACGGCCTTCCCAAGATGGCACTTCCATGTACAGAAAGGTACGCCGCATTTAACCTAGTTTTAGTTTTCACATCAATCGATCAAGTTCAGTAACAAAAAAAAAAAAAAAAAAGCCGCGCCAGATTGTATTATAAAAGGGAATATTTCTTACTTGTCGACATCTGGTGGAGCTGAAGGATCGTAAACTTCATCTCTATGCTCCATCGGGGGAGGGGCACCCGGCAATCCAGCCATTTCTGGAGCTCCTTCAACCTGTAAAACAACACAGCAAGTTGAGAATGCGAATTTCAAGTAGATTGAGAGAAGAAATTTTGTCGACGGCTCAAAGATTGTATTCTATTCATAATAATAATAATAACAACGAGGCCTATAAATAAACATAATATTTGACTCGATAGACTCAAATCATAAAAATCTAACTAAATTTAATACTCCCTTCGGCCGTCTCATAAAAAAAGTTTCATTTTCTATTTCCGTTCGTCCCAAAACAATGGTATCATTTTTTAATTTAATAATTGTACTACTAAACTAATATAATAAATATTCTTCCAACTTACAATATATATTACACAAATGTCATTACTTTTATATTACAGAATATTAATAGGGGTATTTTTGTCTTTTTTACTACAACTCAATATAATACTAATATTAAAAAAATCTACGAAAAGTAAACGTTACTCTCTTTATAAGACGGAGGAAGTATAGAATTACATAACTAAGATATTTCAACATAGACCGAATCAATTGGTAGGCAAGTGCAAACACAAACCGGATGAGGGTACTGTACGTAGCCAGCATATGCAGCAGCACCATACGCAGCAGCTGACGGGTCTTGAGTTGCTGCATAAGTGTAGGGGTCGTAGCCTTGCCCATAACCATAATAAGCAATCAATTGGTTTGGATCAGCAGATTGGCCCCAGGCACCAGCGACATCCTACAGTATACGATCAAGAATTTATAGGATGTTCATCTTGTTTCTAAATACTCGTGAAAATTAAATCAGGGATATACATACATATATATATATATAGAACAGACACTGAATATTGTTCATAATATTCTCATTTCTCAGGGCATCGATAAAACCTGTTTTGCAGCTTGACTCCTCCCCCACGAGAGATGAACAGCCTGTTGACCGATCACTGCACCCTGCGCCCTTTGTATCGCTTCTTCTGCAGATGTTCTGTCCGTGCAATTAAAAGGGTACTAAATTATTTCGGAGAACAATTTAGGGTTTGTTTGCACAATACTTTTTCTCGATAGGATTCCCAATATATATATTTTATCCTCCCACAAAAGTCTAACATTTAATATAAAGTATTATTTTTTATATTACTTACAAAATTCTCTATACTTCACATAAAAAAAATTCTTCAAATCAAAATACTAAACAAACAAACCCTAACAGGAAGAATGAACGGTTAAACTATTATGCAAAATGGAGGAATTGCATTGATGAGAACTGCTCAACGTGTTCTGCTCTCCGTATTTGATAAGAATTCAATACAAACGGCAAAAATGTACCTTGCGGTGAACTGCACAAAACCACAGCCCTTTGATGCAGGAATTTTAGCATAGACGATCTCCCCAAATTGTACAAATATTTGCCTTAGCTCTTCTTCAGTTACATTAGGATCCAAATTACCGACATAAACCTGCATACCAGCAAGATAAGTAAAATGACAGGCCAAAACATATATCGAGCAAAGATTGTATATAATATTAAGAGGCTGACTTTACTGACTCACCGTAGTGTTATTCATGTCATTTTCAACCGGAATCGTCTGCACAGGTGGAGTGTAAACTGCTGCTGGATACACTAAAACGATTATATATATATGAGCATAAACTTGCTGAGATTTAAAACAATAAATGAAGGACGCAAGAGAATGGAAACAAAAGAAATTAAAGTATGAGCCGGTACTGAAATTCAACAGATATTTTAATTTAATTTTTCACCTGCAGCAGCTGTGGCGTACTGCTGTTGGACACCAGGGGTTGTTTTCTTTGGTATTGCCGCATTAATTCTCATGGGCCGGGTAGAACAATAGGCGCCATTCATCTCAACCATTGCGCGGTTCCTTTCCATCTCATCAGCGAATTTAACAAAACCATAGCCTTTGGACCGCCCGGTGTTGGGGTCTGTCACAACCTTTGCTCCTCTAACGGATTGGTAATTGACTCGGAAAGTCTCCTGCAGCAGATAATCTGTTACATCCGGAGCTAAATCCCCGACAAATATTGAGTGTTCGGGACCCGCATCAAGACGCTTTTCTCCAGAGGATGCCCAATTCAACCTGAATGTTAGCTCAGTTCCGGGAATTTGTGCTCCATTGTAAGACTGAAGAATGCTTTCTGCAACTTGATGTGACGCAAATTCCACAAATCCATATCCTTCGGGCTGACCTGTTATTTTGTTCCGAATCACTTTGGTGGAAAGGACCTTCAATGAATACAATTACAATGGAGCTGTTACTTAAACCATTCGGACAAATATAATTTCTTCATTCCATAGCACATCAAAATCTGAAAAAATCCCCCATTCCATCTTAAGAGTATTTACTACGAACAATAAATGTAATAAGAAATTGGTCGAATTCTACGAACCCTAACATGTGTCTTGAACCAAAGATCGATCAATTAAGAGATAAAAGAAACTGCAAGATGATGAGACAGTACTTCCCACATCCTTTTCATCAAACTAAAACCCTATACGGCTGAAATCAACATAGAGTACTAAGGCCATGATCAGAATTAGAGTCTGTAAGATGAGATTGTTTGTATGTTTAAATTTAAAAAAAATTAAAAAAAAATAATAATTATAATTTTATCAGACTAGCATAATCAAGCATCAGCCCCATCTTATAGTAAATATTTCTGCCGATGATATAGAACTAAAATCCCCCAGCAATCATGGCTATGTGTATATAGGATTAATTCAAAGGCAATTTTAAGAATTAGACAGCAATTGCTTGATTGTACGATCTGTTCAACCCTAAATTCACAATTTCAGCGTCGTGTATATTTAACCAAAATAAAAAACACGACCTAATTGCAAAACCTGAATAATCGAATCAGCTGCAGAAAGATGAAGAATTCGGCAGAAATATAGGAATCAATTGCAAATAGAAATACATAGGCGTATCGACAACGAGGATAGGAGGAACACAATCACCTCAGCAGCGGACGAGAACCAGCCGCGGAGGTAGTTCTCGTCAGCCCAATAGGGCAAATCCCCAATCCAGAGCGTGCGCACCTCCTCGAACGTGGCGGGCTGGTGATACGGCGCCGTTGGCAGGCTCATTCCTGCTGCTCTTTTTCACAAATTGAAATAAAGCAGATGGAGCTCGATTCCCTCGTTTCAATGGCGTATTTCACCGTCGCGGATTACCAGTCGTTTTTTTTTTGGGGTTCCACTTCCACGAGTTCTTACTTCCTAACCCTCCCAACAAAACCCTCAGCAAAAATTTAAATTGACGCTTCTGCCCAGTGGGCTCGGCCGCTCCGTTATTTGTAAATATGAATGAATTTGATATCTGGGTTTGGATTTTAATATATATAGGATATGATATTTTTATAGTAAAATTAATTTTTAATATAATATAAAAAATAAAAAATAAGTGTTTGATTTGATATTTTTGAGGAAAAAAAAAATAGGATAAATGATGTATTTAAAATCCAATTCCCAAACAAACACACCCTAATTTATTTATTTTGTCTATTTTTTATTTTTATTAATTTTTTTTTTAAAAGTATAAGTAAACCATGGTCCAACTTTCGTTTAATAAATAAAACCAAAACCCTGACTTTAGAGGGTTTTATCTGCACACTTCTCGGCTCTCATCGGAAGTGTCCGCCGGTCGCCCGTCGGAGTTTTTACGGCGGCGACTCATGCAGTGCTTTCTAAACTATTCTTCACATCTCGATTATGTTGGTGATCGGCGTTCTCAGGTTCTCCTTCCATCTAATTTTTTTTGGAAATCCCTCCTCTCTTTTCGCTTGGGTGAATTCATTTATACCGTTTCTATTGATGTTCATATAACCCTATCCTGCTATTGAATGCTATGGTATTTATATTGAAAGTAATTTGTGGAGTTATTAGTTTTATTGCCTGGATATGATTAGTAGTTGCTGTTAATTATGTGTAGTGGATTAATTTCTGTTTTTTTGGTTGGATAAAAAATGTTAATGTGATTTATTACACATTTTAGTCCTCAAATTCATCCTCATGTCAATTCGAGAATGCCACATTTCATTTCTTACTTTTGGTCACTGGATTTGTTCATTTACTTTTGCCTTTTGTTAAGATTAATTTTGTGTTTTTTTGACATTTTCTGTTATAGATATTCCTTTCTGGTTGGTTAAATGTGCTCATACATGATGGAGCTGTGCATCTTATATGGATGGAGAAAGTATTCTTAAGATTTTAGGTTGAAAATCGAATTCGATTCTTTTTATGATTTCAAACTTTAGAACTGCAAGTAGAAGAAAAACGATTTTCAGCTTTTTTAAACAGGGCTCTTACAATGTGCTATTAGAGGTTCTTGAGATTGCACCATTAGAGGCAACATTGTGATATTTAATGACACTAAAATAAATTTACTGAGCAGATAATTTTCGGGTAATGACTAATGTATAAGGAAGGGCAACAGGAGGAGAAACAGATTCCTATGATAGGTCCAATAAGAATGTTCTTTGAAGCCAAATTATGTTCTGGAATTGATTGTGGATTCGAGGCCCTGTATTACAATCCTTCGGTGTTTCCTTAACTATACATTCCATTTGATCTAGGCAGTAAAATATGGATTTTGTTTTCTAATTTCTGTGAAGAAGTATTTCATTAAGTTGTTTCCATTCTTGCACCTTGATGGCTTAACTGCATTGTAACGGCAAATGTCTACTCTTAAGTGATTCGTAAGTTGTTCTCTATATCTTAGCCTGGAATATTTCATAGCTAAGTCGTTTGAACGGAATTTTGCAGAGTATGATGAATTCTCAAGTCACACTGTAAGTTTATGTCCAAGCATGATATTTCGATTGCAACAGCTTTTGGCTCGATGAAAATGGTGTTTGTATCTGGTTGGCTACCTCAACGAGGAATTTCAGCAAACTCTGCAGTCTTCCACCTCTGTTCATTAGTATCCTCTAACTAAACTTGAAATCTTTCCGTATCATTTGCTTCAGATTTTTATAATTGTCCAAACTGGGGATAGTATACTTTTTAAAATATTGATGAAATTTCGTGTCTGCTATTTGCCCAAGCTCTCCAAGACCAAATACCATTTCTTTCGCCATTTCTATCACAATGTTTCCAGGTCGTCCTTTGGTGGCGCACATGAAACTTCCGGCTCAGCTCTAACCTTTCCATCTCACCAATCAATCTGGAAAGATGCCAAAGCAGTGGCACTTCAAGTATCAAACTGTACCGATTTAAAGCACCTGCGCCAAGTATTTTCCCTTTTAATTCGAACCTGTTTTCTACAATCATATCCTTATTCTTTTCATTATAATAACATCAGTAGAGTGTACAGCCGACTAGAGTCACCCAAAGATGCATTGAATGTCTACATCACCATGTGTCGTGCTGGCATCCCGCCAGATAATTTTACTCTTCCGATAGTTGTTAAAGCGGCAACTCAAATTTCAGACAATGTATTTGTGGAACAAGTACATGGTATATCAATTAAGCATGGGTTCGACCATGATATGTATTGTCAAAGTGGTTTGATTAGCTTCTATTGTAAAGCCGGTCAATTGCAGAAAGCGCATAGAATCTTTATGAACTGTACTGAGAAACCGTTGGGGTCTTGGAATGCTATCATCGGAGGACTGTCGCAAGGAGGATGCAGTAATGAAGCCGTACAGATGTTTATATCAATGATGAGGGACGGGTTATCCCCTGATAATGTGACGTTGGCAAGCGTTACATCAGCCTGTGGAGTTTTAGGAGATTTGAATTTGGGTTTTCAGCTTCACAAATTTGTTTTCCAGGTGAAACCTTTGGAAAATCCCGATATTCGTATGATGAATTCGGTTATTGACATGTATGGAAAGTGCGGGAGGATGCACTTAGCTTACAAAGTGTTTATTGAAATGGAGGAGAGGAATGTGTCGTCGTGGACGTCAATGATAGTCGGCTATGTTGTGCACGGGCATGTCGGAAATGCGCTGGAGTTCTTTCGTGGTATGATAGAAGGCGGTGTTACGCCTAATGAAATTACTTTTGTCGGAATTTTGAGTGCGTGCGTCCATGGCGGGATGGTCTGTGAAGGGAGGTATTATTTCAACATGATGACACAGGTTTATGGAATCAAGCCGCGACTACCCCACTACGGCTGCATGGTGGATCTTCTGGGTCGCGCCGGACTGTTTGACGAGGCGAAGATGATGGTGGAGGGGATGCCGATGAAGGCCAATGTTGTGATATGGGGATGCTTGATGGGCGCGTGCGAGAAGTATGGGAACTTGAAAATGGGGGAATGGGTGGGTCGGCATTTGATTGAATTGGAGCCGTGGAATGACGGTGTGTTTGTCGCTTTGTCGAATATATATGCCCGGCATGGTATGTGGAAAGAAGTGGAGAGATGCCGGATGTTCATGAAGGAAAAAAATCTGGCGAAACTTCCAGCTTATAGTTTGCCCGAGAGTTAATTACCTTAAAACTTTTTTACGATGTTCGCCTATTTTGTGACTGTGGTTGAATTATTTTTTACTCGTTTTGTTTTCAGGGGCTCTGGTAACTTAACATTCGGCAACTTCAGCTAAGATTGGCTATTTCTTGAGCCATACTGTTCATCGAACAAGTACTCGGCTTCTAACATTCGGCAGGTACTTTTATATATATGTGATGTACTGAATTTTGATATCTAAATCAGGTAGAGTTTTTACAGTTTGAATATATACTTGTGGATGGGTTTTACATATAATGTTTGACCAAAATCATTTAAGATATTTAGGCCATTTGAGTGTAATATGTTTGTTCATCTTGGATAGTTTTTCATTTAAGTGAATAATATTGTGCTAAGGCCATCTCCAACCCAGCGCCATTAAATATGTTTGTTCATCTTGGATAGTTTTTCATTTGAGTGAATAATGTTGTGCTAAGGCCATCTCTAACCCAGCAATGGCGCTAGGTTGGTAAATTTGGCCTCGGTTGTGCGCCATTTTTTTGCGTTGCTTGCTTTTTTTTTTAAATTATAAAAATAAAAAGTTGTTTAAAATAATAGGAAAAATTGAATATTTGAAGAATAATAGTGAAAAATAGAGTTATGGTTAGAGTAAAATTACTGTAGCAACTACATATTTAGAGTTAAAACTAGATAAATGGAGTTGATGAGTTGAAGATAACCTATCAGCTTGATGTGGAATAAAGTTTGATTTACTTAGACATAAGGCTGTGAATTACTAACTGTTCAAGAAACTGTATACGACAATAGGTCTGAAAAAGTATCGAAAAATATCAAATTATATATTAAGAATGCTCAATTCAAGAAGATAGCTGTGAATTTTTTCATTTTTGAAAAATTAGTATGAATAACTTTATCTCTCTCTGTTTTTTCATGTGCATAACCTCTGTTATCATGAGTTACCTGATCATATATTGGCAGTTAAAAAGAATTGTGCATTGGCTTAATTATTTTTGTTTTTTATTTTTGGTTATATTACTGTCTTGATTGTGTATGAATGTTTTGATATTTTGTAATAAAAATGGTTGAATTTAGAGTGGGTTTGTTTAGTATTACTTAGGCGTTTCTGTTGTGAGTTACGGGAAATCATGAAAGTATTATAGAAAATAATATTTTGTTGGTTTTTGTGTTTTTATTTTTTAGGAGTATGTATTGTATATTTTGGATAATATTATTGTGTAAATAGGTTAAAAATACTAGGTGAACACTATTGTCTAATATGTTGGACGTAGATGAAAATAGTTAAATGTTGATTATTATTTTGTAAGCATTTTTTAGAGTTACGTGGAAAGTACAATTTGGAACGAATTAAAATGACAAAATGAATAACGGGAGAAGTAGAAGTTTAGTATGGTAATGCTTTGAAGTTTTAAATTTCCAAAGTTAGATTGTAGATTTCAAATCCCTTTAATATTTCAAACTCTTTTTATATTGTCTTACTTTACATATTTTATGCAACCAAAGGATGGATTTTATTATGAAACATTTCAAATTTAAAGTAAATGAAATACTATATTTATTTGATACAACCCTCAGTTCAATACCTATTCATTCTAATTTCTATATAAACATTAGGATTGTGTTCTTTTGTGGATTTTACAACAAATTTTTACTATTTAATTTTTTTTTCTTTTAAAAAATATCACTTCAGACAATTTAGCTTCTCTTTTTATATTACACTGTAAATTTATTTTGCATTCAAAAGATCACATCAATCTATATATTTAAATCACATCAAACAACTATTCAAATTTAACTTTTTACTATTAAAAATTGAAACCTAAAACCCACAAACAAACACACCTTAATAGTTTTACTTCAAAAAGCATTATATATATATATATATATATTTTATTTAAAAAGAACACAATCTGAAACTTGTTTACTTTGCCATTTTGTTCTGGTGTTTTTAATTCTTAAATTTTGAATTTTGAGAATGTAAAAACTAGTCGTAGAATGGTATACTTCGAATGAAAAATATGTCCTCTTGAATATTTATATAGAAAAAAAATATATATATATATATATATATTGAATAGTGATGAATAAAAATAAAATATCAAGTAACCATGAACAAATAATTTATCGAAAGGATGACAAGGAATAGAATTCAATAAAATACTTGCTTCATTATGCAATATATTATATATATATTTACTATATTCAATTGACAAATCTACAATCTTTTCTGATCTCCTGTCCTCCATTCAAGCCACTCATCTTGATCATCGACTTTGCGAAGGCTTTATGAAAAGCCTTCTTCGACGTCGCAAACCTATACACCAATCTCTTAGTCCTCGGGGTGGTGAGGAGTGATTGGTCCGAAAAGAACAAAGTTTTACGTTGGATTATGAGTTTGTAGTGCGTCGTGTCAAAAGTAGTCGGAGTTGAATCCATGTTCATCCCGGCATTCTTCGCCCTATTGTTTAGCGGGCAAATGCCCTTTAGACTCGACGCAAACGAGGGCCGGAGCGTCGGGTCCACGTCGTGCGTAGAGTTGAACTTGTGGATACGGCTCTGAAAGGACGAGCAATGGGCGAACCCGAGCGTGTGTGCGCCTACACAATACAATAATTTTAAATTATAGCGTAACTCATATACACTATCGATCTACTGAAGACAAAAAAATTGTTGATAATTTAAGAAAGTATAAGATTCACAATTTTAATTTTTCAATTTGAAATCCTTATTTATCGAATTGGCCGAATTCAAATTGAACACGATTAAATTGAGTGTGCAAAATTTTTTAAACAAGTTTAATATATAATTTATTCAAAATATTATAGAAATATAATTAAATATAAATAAAGCTACATATTATAATTAAATGTGTGTATTTACGGTAGTATATTTAATAAAATATTATATTCATATACAACTAATAATAAATAATATGAATATATATAATATTAAAAAATTAATTAGTTAATTAATTGAATTTGAATAATTCTGAATTCAAAAAAGTAAAATAATTTTCGATTTGATTTTAAAATTCTTGAATTTGAAATATCCGAATATCGTTCGAATGACCAAATTACTTGAATTGAAAATTTTGATTTAATTTTTTTTTTTTTAAAAAAAATGATTAGTAATTTAGAAATCGATAATTTGCACACCCCCCTTCAACAATACTATTTAACTTTAAATTAATTTTTGAATGTATTAATGAATTGTAGCTCACCTTTATCCTTATTTTTGTTTAATATTTTTTCAAAAAAAAATAGTTACGTTTAATATTAATTTTATAGACCACTTATCATTCACTATTTTACGAAAAGATTGGCCAAGAAATCATAACTAAGTACAATATACTGATACTTTTATTGATATCAGAAAAATATCAATAAATTTTTTTGATATTTTCTCCGTACTGATATTTTAATAAAAATTTTAAGACTAATATAGTCGACATACCGGTGAGAGCGACGAGATCGTCAAGGGAGAGGCCTCTAAGGCCAAACGCCTTTTGGAGTTGAGAAATGTTGAAAAGCGGAGACGGCAAAATCGCCGTCTCGCTAGCTTTAGATGTCCTTCCGTCTTTTCTTCCTTTCGGGACTTCCCATCTCGGCCCTCCCGACTGATTATTACATTCGATTCACTTCCTCATTTTTTTTTTATAAATATAAATCGGTAATGATACTATGTTATTTGCAGATGGGTGAAAAGATCGAAAGCTTACAAGAACGACAGAATCCCGGGCAGCGAATGCCAATATGTCGGCACATGAGACAATGCCGGGACACACGGCTTCCACTTCTCTCTTCGCTTCTTCGATCACATAAAACGCGTGCATCGACCCGTTTGGGGGTCCGTCTCTTTCGGCTTTCTTCCCTCCTTTCGATTCGAGCAATATCGACCCGTCGCAACCCTACATTCTTGCACATACTTATTGATTGTAGAGGGTTCGCAGACTATATAATTCTAATATCTCTATTCGTTAAATTTATTTTTTACTGTTTTTTTTTTTTATCCTTTAAATTTACCTTATTACTAATTTGGCTGAGTTAAATTTAATTGTTAAATTTATCTTTTACTTTTTTGTTATCTATCCGTTAAATTTACCTTATTACTAATTTGGCTCAGTTAAATTTAATTCTAATATCAGTATACTCATTGATCGTAGAAGGTTCGAAGACTATATAATTCTAATATCTCTATTCGTTAAATTTATTTTTTACTGATTTTTTCGTCCGTTAAATTTACCTTATTATAAATTTGATTGAGTTAAAAAATGAGTATTTAATTATTACTCTCTATTCAACATTTATTACAAAAAAATTTACTATCTTTATTACATTATTTCTTTTTAATTGCTAATTAAAATTTAAAAAGACCTTTTTTAAAAAAAAAAAAATTCAATAAAATCTTTTTCTCTTTTAAATCTCCATGCTTGATCAAATGTGTTATTTTATAGTGACAGAGGAAATATATAGTTACTTGTGAGATTTTCATTATTTTACTATTCTAATTTTTTTTAGTCCAAAAATATCGAATCGAATACTTATTTTTATTTATTACATTCCACTGAAATTATTTTTACATTCAAAATATTATATTAAAATATATTTATATTATATTAAATAACTAGTTTAAAATTTTACTATTCAAAATCAAAATTCCACGAATAAACCAAAATTGTTTGTTTGGTGGATTTTGTAGGATTTCTACTACTCACTAATTCTCTATCTAAAAATATCAAATCAAATACCTATTTTTCATTTTTTATGTTATACTAAAAATTAATTTTACATTTAAAACATCGCACCAACTCCTATTTACATCACATCATACAACTATTTCAATTCAAAATTTTTACTATTCAAATTCCAACTCAAAATCCAAACTCCAAACAAACACACTAAGCTTTTAGATGAGATGATCATTTTAACTTTCTTTATCGGCGAAAAAGAATTGATAACTTTTGGCATTTGCGCGATATCGATATATATATATATATATATATATACACACATACCCTTATGAAGCAGTCATGGAAATGCATCCTGATGAGCGTCGCCGGGACTTTGCTGTCTCGGGACGTCGCCTCCTTAACAACCTTGGCGACAATTTTCTCGACGCCCGGGCATGTCTTGTCGTAGTAATTCGAACTCAACGAGCTCGAAAATCGGAAAAATGAGAAGACTATTAGCAGTGAACACAACAAAGTTGTTGCAAAGAAGCCCATGGCTTTGTGTGTGTGTCTGAAAATTATATATATTTGAATGTCTCTTTATAGACATGAGAAGAAATTACGAGAAAGAAAAAGGGTAAAGATTTCAACGATGATTAAGGGATTTTGTTGCCACTCATTGCCTAGTGCTTTTGTTGGTTTGTATTTAATTTTTCGAATAATCGAACCGAACTGAATTAAACTCAATCGATTTTCATATTAACCGAAAAGAACTGAATTTTAGGTTAATCGAAAAATTCGATTAAAATAAAAATATTTATATTAGATAATTATTCAGTTCGATTCGGTTTTAATTTTTAGGTAATTTTTTTTAAGATAAAATTGAATCAAACTGAATTTCTTTATATTATTATATTTAAAAACTTATGTTCATAGTAGTTTTATATTATATAAATTAAATATTACTCATATTTATATTACTATATTTACATAATAAAATAATTGTAGTTTGTTTCAATTCCGTTTGAAATGTTTGTGAGTATTTTCTTTCCATCTGAATTTTAATTATTTATTAGATGTATTTATATATATATATATATATATAGATTCAATTTGGATTATTTATAAATAATATTTTGTTCGAATATTTAGGTTCAAATACCGTTTATGATTTTGAATATTTGTTCTGTTTGGTTTAAATATCAAATACTTGTGTATTTACAAATAAGAAATCGATTGTTCACTCCTAAAAGTTAGTACCAAAATTTTTAGAAGTGTCTATATACTAATTAATAATAATATTGTTATTATTATTATAGTTTCTTGGTGGATTTCTTTGTAAGATTTTAGTTTTGATTTTACTATTTCAAAAAAAAATTTCTAAAAATCTCAAATTAAATATCTATTTTTTTATTTATTATATTACATTAAAATTAAATTTTACATTCAAAATATCACATCAATATATATATTTATATCATATTAAAAAAAATGTAAAAAAATAATAATACGATAATTAATGACACTAAATAAGATGTACAAAAATGATAAAATGAAAGAACTAATTTGAAATGGAGAAAGTTTATCATATTGTACATGCATATTATACAAAAAATAATATTAATGTGGGTTATTATTATTACTATTACTATTATTATTATTGTTGTTGTTGTTAATGCGAGTTTTATAAAATCCATCCGAACCTGTCCCGTTGCTATCCCTATTCCTATATTTAGAATATGATAATTATTGACAAAATATTTAATGAATGCATGCATGGTGATGATGAAGAAGTGCTTTCTAAGCAAGATTGTAGGGGTAGAGAATTATGATGAGGATTATTATTACGTAGATTAAAATTTGTCAACTTTGTGCTTTATTGTGTTTTTTGTCTTTGGTGGATTCGGGCATATGGGGTGGGGTGGGGTAGGGTAGGGTAGGGTGGGGTATGATATGATGGCTCCCACCATTTATTTCAAGAAAAAAGAAAGAAAGAACCATATATCTCACATATTTCGTCGGTGATTCATTGAAATAGTAATAATAATGGGGAAAAGTCACACTCCTACAAAACTCATTTGGGTTCGGATCGGAAACTAAGAAAAATGAATATTTTATTAAAAATATGATAGGTAGTTGAGGGTATTTTTGAAAATTTAATTAAAAAGTAAAATAAATGAAGAGAGAATGTAATAAAGTTAGTGATATTTGTTGTAAATAAGTGTTGAATAAAAGGTAATAATTAAATGTTGATTTGCTGACTTTGCCAGAATTAGTAATAAGATAACTTTAATGGATAGACTAAAAAGAAAAATGAGAATAAATTTGACGGACGGAGAGAGTATGTCATTACAATGCAAGCAATTCTTTTTTTAGGGTGTATCATGTCATGAAATTTATTTTTTAAAATTGTATTATCAAACAATGTCGGTGCTTATAGCACTAAAATAAAAAGAAAAGGCCGATTTGTAACGGAAAATAGCGACAGAAATTTTGTAGCAAATTGACGAAAAATATATATATATATATGTGCAATGCAATGAAATATATATGACTTGAGACGTGGTCACAAGTCCAACCCCTACACCACCATGTCATTCTTTACGAGACTTTTGTACATTTTTAGTAATATACAAAGGGCTAACGTAAAAACTAAAATAGTCAAAATAGGCAATGAACAACATATTTAATACATTCCCCTAATAAACCAACACATATCAATCTTAAAATTTAAATCAAATAAGAAGACTACAAACTTAAAACTCTACTAAATTTAGCTTCTTCATAAATTAATTAACATTGCGTTTAGATATATTTTGGAAGTGTTATGAAAATTTTAGTTGGTTTGCTAATAGTGAATTATTGAATAAAAAATTAATATTTGATGTGATATAAATAAATACTAAATGTAATATTTTAAATAAAAAATAAGTATTGAATATATGCGTAATGATTAGGAATGACAATGGGTCGCTTCCAGCCGGATTTGAGATCCGACCCGAATATACATGGCTGGACTCGAGGTTCAAATTAGATTCGATTATACCCGGATTCGACCATATCCGAACCTGATCCGAACAGTACTCGACAAGATCCGCTGAACCCGAAAAATCTGAAAAAATCTTTTACAATTCTTAAAAATTAACTTAACATTAGATCCAAACCCGGACCCGTACTCGATATATATTAAAATTTATAGTTTTTATTCAAAAATATTATAATAAAATAATAAAAAATAAATTAAACTAAAATCATATTTTTAATATAATTTATATTATTAAAAATTATTTTTTTTCATATATATAATTAATATATTATTTCAAGTCTGGGTCCGGTCCAGTCCGGTCTGAGTAGGGTTCACCCTTGGACCCGAGATCCAATACCAGAATAATTGGACCCCAATCCCAAGTAAATAGGTCGGGTCCGAGTCAGGTCTCGGGTCTACTCGATTCATTGTCATCTCTAGTAATGGTTAAAGTTAAATGATATTTTCGTATTAATGTATAATTACTTTTATTAAACAATTTGATTACAGTGTCGCCGCATTAGATGTCATCATTGTGCTATTTTCTCTGAAAGCACAAAGTAAATATCCAGAAAGCATCAATCCTTAGCGCAAATAGCACTATGCTTTTAAAATAAGAGCGGTGTACTATTTATTTATTTTTTAAACTGATGTTCCACAAAAGTACATTTGGTGCTCTACAAGAGTAGGTGTGGTGCTATATAAAAGTGATTTATAAAAATATATTATGTTCATATACAAATATATTTGGTATTCTCTTATTTATTTATGAATTGATATTATTTTAACAATTAAACGGCATTTTCTGAAAGTTTAAACGGTACTACTCGACACCGTAACAATCGTATTTATTAAAATAAGAAATGAATACTTTTGGATATTGCAGACGAAAATATTATAAAAAAAAAAAATACTTTGAATTTTGACGAAAAAAACATTTGTTAGTATAAATTTTAAGATAAAAAAAAATAGAAACAAGCCTTAAGGAATAGAACCAAGAATGTTGACAATGGAAAGAAGCTTTTGAATAAGTCTTAATTTCACATCAACTTTATGTCAAACTTGTAAGTGCTCTAATGCTATTTATCAATTGACAACAAACAATCCTAAATATACCTCAGGTGTGTTTGTTTGGAGATTTGAATTTTAAGTCGGGATTTGAATAATAAAAAATTTGAATTGGAATAATTAATTGATGTGATATAAATAAGTATTGAGATGATGTTTTGAATGTAAAATTAATTTTAGTATAATATAAAAAATAAAAAATAGATATTTAATTTGATATTTTTTGAAAAAAAATAAAATTGATGTGAATAATGGAAATCTTTCAAGATCCTCCAAACAATTGTTCGATATGATGATCGAGTTGGTGCGATATGATAAATTTAAATTATGTTGATATATATATATATGTACATTTAAGTATCTCATACAATGTTTGTCCAAATATTTACTGATGTATTTATTTGTAAGATTTTAATTTTGAATAGTAAAATATTGAATTAAAATAGTTATTTGATATGATATAAATATATATTGATGTGATATTTTAAATGTAAAATTAAATTTTAATGTAATATAATAAATAAAAATTAGGTGTTTGATTTGATGTTTTTTAAAGTAAAAAATTATTGAAATAGTAAAATCAAAATCAAAGTTGCAAAAGTAAACACACCCGTACATAATACATACTCAAAATGTACCAATTATGGATCCCTATATTATCAAAATAAATAAAAAAATAAAACAAAACAAAATAATATTCATTACTTTTTTTTAAAGGGTATTATATCATAATGTTATCGAATTTATACATCATGCGTGAGAATTACTACTCATATCTTATTTTGCTTGATATTTTACTTTTAATACCATGTTTTAGATTATACAGTTTTGATTTACTCCCTCGGTCCAATCGAAAGGTTATCATTTTTTATTTTCGTCTGTCTCAAAACAAGATTATTATTTCCTAATTTAGTAATTGTACTACTTACCTAACATTATAAATACACTTTCAACTTACAATATATTACACAAATGTCGTTACTTTTATATTACACTATACTAATTGGGATATTTCTGTCTTTTTTACTACAATTCAATATAATACTGATATTCAAAAATCTACGTGCAAAAAACAAACGCCACTCTTTCACCGAGACGGAGGGAGTATCATTTTTCAAAAGGGTAAACTATTTTTAGTTCCGTAACTGGACCCCCTTATTATTTTAGTCTCCTAAGTGGAGTCTGTCACAAATTAGTCCCATAAGTGGAAAATTTTCATTGTTTTAATCCTCCGGCGCCGGAGACGCCCGTGTGGCTCGCCGGAAGCCACGTGTCCGCTAGGAGTCCCGCCAGGTCAGTGACACCTGGCGGACACGTGAATTTTATTTTATTTTTTATTTTTTAAAATTATTTAATTTCTTTTTAATTGGACTAAATAAAAAATTAAAATTAAAAAAGTAAAATCTAAAATAAATTTTTAAAAAAATTTAAAAAAAAAAGAGAAAAAAATAAAAAATAAAATCCACGTGTCCGTCAGGTGCGTTGACTTGACGGACAAAT